TCGTTTTATCAGACTTCAACACTCTATCGGTAGGGGGGGAAACTCTCTAGTTTTATAGAATAACTAACTAATTTCGGTGACTTACTCTTTACGTTTTACGAAGCTATCTGCGTATTTATTTATTTATTTATATCTTTAAATTTTTTTTTTATCCATTCTATTTGCATATCCATTTAATATATTTTGCGTTTTATCCATCATTAAATCTATGTCTAGATTCGATGCTGCTGCGTATCCACCCATCGAAATGTCTCGTTGTCTATGAATATATCAATTAACAAATAAACGATCAGTCTTTTGAATCTACGAGTCTCTCTATCTATCGTTTATAGGTAAGACTTTTTGTAAGACTGTTTTCTTTTTTGCTCTCCTGTTTTATATTCGTTGTTAATTCGTGTTTCGTGTTGAGCAGATATCTACTTTTTAAAGCAAACCTCATTCAAAAACCTCAAGTGGAAATGGAAATCACTTTCCCCCCAGACCCAGCGGAAACTTGAAATTGCTTTTTCCGCTTGCCATTTCCATTGCACTGCAATTTTCCTTTTCCTTTTCCCGTGTCACTTTTATTTGCTCACTTTCATGTTGCGACAATTTAGCACATCACCGGTCCATGGGTGCCGCCCCTTCCGCCAAAGTAATCCCGGCCCTTCCTCCCACATCAATTGCGCCAATTTGCCAATGAATGGACACTTCTAACTTTCGTTTCCATGGCCTTGGGACGAAACTTTTGTGACCGCAACCCTTTTTAGTCCAGGACGTGTCATGTCCTGTGTCCTGTGTCCGGGCTCCCACTTCCCGTGTCCGTCACTTTGTATACCTTTGGGTGTTTGGCCTGTGCCGAACGCCAATCAAGCGCAAAACCATTTTTGACATCCTCGGACATGTGGAACGAACGGGTAGAAGGACAACCGCCAAGCGGTCGGCCACTGGCTGACCAGCCAACCAGGACCACAACCAACCAGCGACGGTTCGCCCCCCGGACAATGACAATTCAATTACAGAAATGGAATGGAAATAGCGGCAGGCATAAAAATCAAATAAAACCATCATAAAGTCTGTCGTATGGCCAAATAAAATCAGTGGGCAATGTCAGTCCGATCAGGGGGGATGGGAATGTAGTGGGAGTGGGGTGCCTGCCGGGAGGGCAGGGGCCAATACTTCCGGTTGGAGTTTTGCTTTTGATTAAGTCCTCAAACCCTGGGACGGGGACCCATCGAAGGGCAGTTACTGGGGCCGTCTCTGGCCACAGTCGAACTTTTGCGGTCATTTGGAAAGTGGCGCCATACGCACGTATACGTAGCCGCCCATCGAGTGCTCGTAAAGTTCCCACGCGCTGGGAGTTGCCTGGGCGGAATCGGGGTCACCCAAGCGGAAGCGGAAGTGAGAATCGAATCGAAATGAATTCAATTCCGACTACACTCTACCTGTTCCTGTTCGATTCAGGCAGCGGTTTCTGCGGTGACTCACCTGACACTTGACACCTAATGCGAGACCCAGGTCTCTCTCCTACAAATGGTTGACACTCTTAAAGTCCTGGAACAAATTACAAACACGGTTCAAGCGGGGTATGGGGAGGCGAGGAGGCGGCCAGAGAGAGCTATTGAAAATTCATAGCCAAAAATTTATTCATGGCCTGCCCCACAGACTCTCAAGGCATTAATATTTAAGCAGCGTCGTTCTCGTCCGGCGTTGTCCTGTGCCTCCTTCAGGTCTTCAGGCAGGCTTCGGGGTCACCTTTTTTCTGTTTTTTTTTTTTTTTTGGCGGGCCTGTCGCAAAGTTTGTGCCCCTGCCACTGTGGCTGTGCGGCTGCGGCTGCGACTGCTGTCAGTAACAACGTCTCGAGGACATGAGGGCAGCTCTTTTTATGGCCCAAAGAACTGTCGTTGCCTATGCCATCTTATGCACAGTCGCCCGGAGTGTTCGAAAAATGTGTTTAGATGTTTAGATGGGAACTTTGAAACACTTGCAATGTATGTTGTACCACTGTCCACACGATTTTCTTGGCACTTTCTTCCACCCAGCATCATCCACCCCTCAGCACTGGCTTGCCTGGTCGTTGGCTACCCAATTTGTAACCCTTTAAACCGTCTGACACGCGTATAATGTCACAGAATGTTCCAAACTACACATTAATTTTTGATCAAATGGCTTTCGACTGCTCCTGGACTGGATCTCTTCGAAGGCAGCAGCTATCCATGGAACTGCCATGCCTCCATGCCTGACATCTCAATCGAAATGGAAATGGAAGGCGTTTCGGCCAAAATTAAATTATGTTATCAGGGACATGGAATGTGGAAACTGGAAAGTTGCTGGTCTAACCGCTAAGTTTGGGTCCTGGACTTGGGCTGGAAATTAATGAAATTTTTTACTTTTATTTCCCCTCCGGCGATTGGCTGAGGTTGTGCCTTATGTGGCAGGAGGATTCCTGTGGCCATTGGGCTAACAAAAATTCATTTATTTTCATTTATTGTTTCACATTTCCCCCAGGACAGCAAGAGACGTTGCAATTACCGCAGAAAAGAAATTCAACAAAAAAAAAAAAACCAACCAAGGGAGTCCACAGCAAGGAGCAGAAAAAAATATTCTGTCGCCGAGAAAAGTTTGGAAAATATGGTTACACACTTACGAAAGGTATCTTGATTTGGTGGAGGGGAACTCCATGGGAAGAAGAAACATTTGACTACAGGAATCACCAAAGACTGTGTGTCTTGTTGTTAGATTCTGGGGGACCTCCTGGGGGGAACTCCATGGAAAGAAGGAACATTTGATTACTGGAATCTCCAAAGACTGTGTGTCTTGTTGTTGGATTCTGGGGGACCGACTCAGCTTACGAAGGCATGAAAGACTGTAGTTCTATAATCTTTACTCTAATTTTAAAGCTTGTATCTAACATAAGAACTCTTTTTCTTGCCAATTCACTTTATTATACTTATTTAGCTGTTATAGAAAGGATCCATGTGTCTTCGTTTAAAATAAAATTTGAAACATTCTTAAGTGAGAACTTATATATTTTACTCTCCATAAATTAGTGAAAATTAATAGAAATCGGATGGCTGTAGTTTCATAGAAAAGATCGAAAAGTTCTTGATCCAAAAACTCTTCCGATTAAGGAACTTATTTCCAATTTTGAATGTGTAAGGGTGTATAATGCTTCGGCATCTAAACGTTACACTTTCCCTTCTTCGTTTTCTTTTTTGGTATTTTTTCTTCGCATTTTTTGGAGCTGGAGCCGGAGCTTTTATTTACTTTTTACTGCCCAGGCGTGTTCATAATTCTGTTGACTTGTCCTGCGGATTGTAATTTTTACTGCAGGACAAGCGCAAATACATAATTGAATAACCCAGTCGCTTGGTCCGCTCGGAGTGGAGCATTCTGCTCTGCTCTGGCCGGGAGGGGAGGGCGGAATCTGGCCGAGGAAAAACCTGAAAAGGGGTGAAAATGCAGGAAAAAGTTTTAATTCAATTCCTTGTGCGTTGTTAACTTGAGAACGTGGGCTGCTGAAGTTGATTAATTTCGCATTTTTACGCTTGATTATACGAGACACGAGACCCTGACAAGATGTACAACTTTTCTAGTTGCAAGATTTCCTTTTGGTGGTTTTCCTCCATTTTTCCCACTGAATTTTTCACGTACACAGTGGCAGGGCAGGGCATGGGTGAGGGAGAGGGAGAGACACGCAACCGAGGAAGGAATCTTTTTCGTGGCTCTGGCGAAAAATATGGCGTCGAATCCTTTGGGAAATTTCGATATCACACTCTGCTCCACGACGTTCTCCACACAGCCCTCCACAAGTTCATTACACATTCGAGGCAGTCGAAATGAGCAAAAGTAATGGGAAATGCAGTCAGCAGGGAGGAGGAGGAGCAGCAGGTTGATTAACCAGGCTTTAAGACAAAGACAACCCTCTGCTTGGGCTACATGTGAGTACGACTACGAGTATGTGCCATAAAAATTGCAATTATTACTTCTGATTTGTGGATTCGTGCGGAAATTACACACATCTGACAGATAGATAGATAGATAGATAGATTCTGATGGGGAGACACCCCAAGTAATCTGCTAATTATGAGTCTTCATTTATTTACAAACCAAAACCACAGATCGATTCCAGACTAGTTCTTAATGAAATGTATATTCCCAAGCATAGAACAGTTCTTAAGCAGCGTTTTTTGGGTGTACGGAGAAAGTTCTCACAAAGAAAGCAGAGAAATGTGTGAAAGAGAAGAGACAAAGGCAAACGACACTTGGAAAGATATTCGCAGAAAGCGCTGAAAGCCGCCGAAAAGGGGCACAGGCACAGCACCATAAATCAAATGTATCTATGTATCTGCGCATTCATTGTCGACTCGACGCGGCTGTATGTAAATGCGAGAGACAATAGTTATGAGTATGTGAGGCTTAATTATACGCGACACTCGATTGGATTCGCTGCCAAATTAGCATATGACAAGGCCAAGCAAAACAGTTAAGACAGTCACAGTCAGAGTCAGAGATGGAGATGGAGATGGAGGCAGAGGTGAAGCCCGAGACAGAGAATTCCATGTAATTACCAGAGCGAGAACAGCATCACAGAGGAGTAACAAACAAAAAACAAGCAGCAATGATATATGCATGTATGTAGCGTATTCCGACTATAGCATACCCGTTAGTAAGATTTTTTCACATCTTTAAACGGTAGAAAGATAATTTATATGGGAAAATGTATGGAAATAATAAGTTATATTTGTAAAACAAAAAGAAAGCAAAAGGCAATCCCATATTTGGTTTAGAATAGTAGAAATATTTCTAAAAATTGCCATACAAAATATGTAACACAGACCTCTTGGAATCTGGAAGATATTATGAACTCCAGATACACTCGTATACTTTCCGATTACTGGGTATTGTGGAAAACCCTAATGAAGAGAATCACCAAACAATTAAGAGGGGGATTCAATTTATAGCCTCGTGACTCATGAGCCGCATTCGAAACGGATTTGAAACGAAGTTTGGATCTTGGTTAAGTTTAAGCACAGGTAAGAGTTTATTGCGGCAATTAGCCGAAAGCCGAAATTCGAAATACATACATAATTATGAATATGTTTATGAGTAGGATTACAATTATTGTGTGATTACTTTTGAGGTAATAATTTATACATAATTTATAATTTAACTAGGCAAAAAAGATCACAAGATCAGCGCCGGACGTAGCCCTCGAAGCGCTGGTGCCGGCTGATGGGCTCCGCCTTGCTTTTGACCAGATACTTGGAGAACTCCGCCGGGGAGCCGAAGGCCTTGATGGGGAATTTGCCGAAGCGGCCGTTGGTCTTGGACACCACGTAGTAGACGGGATACGGGCCGGGTGTCATCTGCACGGGCAGCAACTGGCTCGCCATGTCCTTCAGCGTGTCCATGTCCATGTCCCCATTCAGATACTCCTCAGCGTCTGTTTGGGGGGGGATGAACTTTAGTTGCTTCTGTTGCTTCGTTTTCTGCTTGGGAAAGGCTTTTAGTTCTTTTTGTTTCAAGGCTTGGATGGGCTGCGACGAGTCTTCACCGTCAGTGGCCGGCCTGGGGCGACGCTTCCTCATGCGCATCCGCATCTGCTTCGAGTCCACGTACTTCCGATTGCCGGTGCTCGTGACCGGTCGCAGGGTCTGAATCTGGAAGAGGGACGAGTTCATATTGGCGCCGGTGTGATCCTTCTTCGAGGGCAGGTCCTGCGGATGCACACGTATCACTTTTTGCGGCTGATTGTCTATGCTGATCACATCCTCCTCGATGTCCGCAGGCTTCTCAATGGGCAGCGAGAGGCAGCCAAGGACTCCCAGACCCAGGCAGATGAGCTGGAAGAAAGGCAAACGATAAGATAGTGGACGATCACTATTTGAAGAGATTCTTGGGGCTCAGTGCCGATAAATTTCTATAAATCCGATTATAAAGAACACTTCTTCAACTTCTGTTTAACTGTTCTCTTCTTTAGAGTTCGAAGCTCTCCATAAGCATCTCTTAAGATGGAAAAATAGATACTGCGTGGGTGGCGCTTCATTGATCACAATTACCATTAGCTGTTGACGGCTGAACATCTTGTAAGATCACTTGAGTAAGGCGAGATAAAGGTTGTAGTTTTTTGTTGTTGTCTGGTTGCTTCTGTTTGGAGTGTTTCTCGACGAGATCGGGCGCCCACTCCGCGACTTGCGACTGGTGTTAGATGCTGCCGTTGTACGACTGTCTGTAGATTTGCTCAGGCGATCGCTGTAAGCTCTGGAAGCTGCTGTTCTTCTCCCTTGCTCTCCCTTGCCCCTCATCACGATCCGTTTATAACAAAGTGTTTGGACGGTTTTTTGCTGCTTTTTTTTTTTGGCAGCGCCAGAACAAATAATGAGCCACAAATTCGTTAGTTTTGTTTCGTCTTTTGTCATCTGTGGCCGATCCGCTCCGCTTCACTACCAGGCCCCTATCCCGATCCTATCCAGCCCGCACAGTGGTCCCAATCTGGCGGTTAATTTTGCGATGGCTTGGCCGTGATTGCCTCATTGATTAATTCGCTAGCCAGACCCTCCCCCCTATTGGACATTGATTGTTTTGTGCATTGTCTGATTTGAAGATATTTTTATCATTATCAGCATTGGGTTTTTATGGGGATGAGATACACTCTTGGAGAAGGGTATTGTGACTACGGGGAGAGGTTTTTTCGGGAGAGATAGATGAGCATACTCTTAGGATACTCTTTGTCAGGTAATATTCGGGTAAACTGTATTCGGCTTGGATCTGGGGAATACTTAGAGGAAAACATACATATACACATACTATTAATTTGTTAGATTCAGTAAGGGTATTCTCAGTTCCACCACCTGGTGACTGGTGAGGCATCATTAAGTTTTGCATTACTAATTATTGTAATGGAATTATTTATGATCATTATCCGATTGTCAGACACTGCACATTGTTGTCCATTCGGCGTGTGCACCAGGAAATCGACAGAATTCGAAAACAAGAAAGAAATGCCGAAGTACTTAATACCCTTTGCTCCGTCGGGCACACCCGTACAAAAACTCTTCCTCTCTCTCTCATAACATAGCATATCATATTGCCCATTGTTCGGGCAGTAAATACTCGTAATATAAAGATTAATACCAAAAATATCTACTTTTATTCCTGCTGATCAAAATCCCAATACCACCACGACTTTAATGAATTGAAGCTTTGCCAGCCTCCGACAAAGAGGCGGGGCAGCAATTATAATTCAATTGTATTCAGATGGGAGATATGTATACTCGTACTCGTAAAACTCTTGAAACCGATGATGACTCAGTGGCTCGTGGCTCTGCGATGTTTCGTTCCTAGTTGTGGTGTCTGGTTTCTGGTTTCGGGGCCTTAGAACTCGACAAACAACTTGAGAATTCGCATTGCCCAAGACATTAGAGATCATAAACATTAGGCGATGAGCAAGGTTGACTTTTATGTGCTTTATAATGGAATAATTGAAGTTATGTGAGCTACAGTAACACTCTTTGGGAGTAAATTTTAAAGTAAATTTCGGATTCTAGCAGCTGATTATGTCACCTGTGCTAGCTCTCAGGTATCTGGTATCTGGCAGGTATCTCATTTGTATGCACGTCGGAATTGGTTTAATGGGAATTGGAATTCATTGACCCAGTCTCTGGAACAAGCTCCGATTGAATAACTTCATCAATCAAACACGAGCCAGAATCGTTGATGACGACGATGATACGGGGTCACCAATTTATACATTGTTTGGGTTTGAAATCTCTGATCTGATCTAGTCGAACATTCCTCAAAATGCATATTTCCATCGTAAAAAATCACTTTGCCATCGATAGTCGGAATGACAAAAACCATTTATAGCTCTATCACATCACAGCACAAAAAAAAAAGAAAGAGGAAAAAAAGGAAAGCTTTCAGCCGAGGAAGAGGGTAAAATGCAGCCACACTCTAGACGGTAATAAAATGCCAGAACTGGGACCTGAGCCAGGACCAAGACAATGGAGGAGTGGAGTGCCCGTCTAAGGCATCCTCCATCTTCCATCCGATGTCGCCGCGCCATCGATTGTTATTCAAAGCAGCCATAATCTGTGCCACAAGATGCATAGACAAAGTGAATGTGAATTCGTATTGAAGGGGTTTATGGATGGGAGGCAAGTCTTGCCTTTGCCTTTGGCTTTTCCTTTTGGCTTTTTAGTTAGCCAAGTGTTCAGGGAATTGAGTTGTAACTCAACAGGTTTTAGCTTTTAAGTCCCTTAGTCCTGTGCGGGCAAGAGGCAAGGGTGATGTGCAGGCATTTGCTAATGGATTATTTAAAGTGGGACTTTAAACTTATAGCAAATATGTAAATACCTAGAGGAGGAGATATGGCCTGTGGCCCTGTGGCCATTGTAATTAGATTGCAACACAAAAAAAGGTACCCTTGATGCGGGTTCTGTGTCCACTTCTGTTTCTGGCCAGAGGTGACCAGTGCTCGGCCGCACCCGCCCAGAGGCTAATGGACACCGAAATCCATGGACATTTGTTGTGTGTGGAAAAGTTTTGTCCTTTTTTTGTGCGCTGTTGTTTGGTTTATTTGCGGTCAGCACATAAATTACCTATTAGCTATAGGGATCACACATAATTTACGAGTGGGTTAAGCATCATCCCCATAATTACATACTCAGGTGGTGCAGAGGGGTTAAGGGCGCCAAATGGGTAGATAAACATGTGACAGTGGGGGACAGGGACAACAGCTCCAAAATGAGACGAGAATTACGTTTTGAAAAATCTGCTGACTCAAATACGAGCATACATAGTTGCCAGGAGAGAGGGTCATGAGGGTGGAAGGAACAGTACAGATAGAGAGATATCTCCACTTTTATTACATGTCAATTACCGACAATCAGAATCTGGGGGAACATATGTATGGGAACTTTGGGCACAACACACCACAAAATGCCACCAGATGCCACAGGATGGCAATCGTAAAAAAGAATGGAGCTGTTGGCAGTTGGCACTTGGCACTTGGCACTGGCCAATAATCGTTGTGTCCTTTCGCAGTTCTTGAAAGTTTTCTCTGCAGATAGCATATTAACATTCTCGGAATGGTTATGCCCCAGCCCCTGCACTTTCATTCACTGTCGTCTTATCTAAGTACATAATCCAGGAATAACTACAAGAAGTCTTTTCGAAAGACCCAACAAATGTTGATGGCCTAATAAAAGTTAAAGAAATTTGGAGAGCTTGGTTCTGAGAGAGCATAAGGATATACGTTGAGCTGCGCGGAGTGTTTCGTGGATACCACAGAAACGGGAAAATGTTTTTTCTAATTACATTTGAGACTTTCTGGAGGAGCTTATACTAGGGATATTGGGTAGATATCTTTGCTGAATTACACGTATTTTAAGCGCATAACTTGAAAGGCAATTCTTCATGAAAGAAGGTGACATCGTCACCCCATCTGCTCTCTTTGGAGGACCATCCGTTTGTCAGTTCAGAACATCAAACGTTTGCTATCTCTTTCTGGCGCTTGCCTCTCTGATAATCGAGAGAGCATGGATGGTCCTCACCACAGCGGACGACGTCAGCTTATTATTGAATTTATCTTGGTATAGCCTACAAGCTAAGGGGCCGTCCCGAAAGCCGTGTGATCTTGAAAGCCAGCTTGTGACTGCTCTCAGTGCGTCTATTGTAAATTTGTAAAAATTTAAAAATAATCTAAATAATCTGTAGCTTTTTCAGGTCTGAAAAGAATATGATAGATTCCCAACCGATTGATTAAAGGTTGGTTTTTTAAGGGTTACTTGCAGATTTGGCCCCCAATTCTCTTAAAACTTTCAATTTGGTTTCTTGGTTCTGGAAAAATTGAACTATTCTCAGGACTCTATATTTTATATTTTGTTTTTCCTGTTTTTTTTTCGTAATCTGCTTAACTCCTTCGAATCTCTGGGATCTGTTCACCGAATAAACATTTTTAAAGCAGTGGGGAAGCTCGGGCAAATATTTACACTGGTTCCGAGTACGAGTATCATCATAAATTCGTTGCGAAAAATGCTTTTGTTGGCCATTAAAATATTTAACAGATTGCCGCTGAAGGACTGGGACGGTCTCAGAGCTCCCTCTACCCACCTCTCCCCCTAGCTCCAGCCCTCCATTGCGTGGGGGATGGGCATGTCATAGAGGGAATTTCAGTGTATGTGTGTGTGTGTGTGTGTGTGAGAGCACCTAAATCCCGACCGACACGACACTCGGTGCGGCAAGGTGCCCGCCAATGCTCGCGATGACTCCGCCCTGAATTGTTTGGGGTTCCAGCTTGAGAGTTAGACGACGTCGTCCACTGCGCAGATGCCGGATTTTCGCCTCGTCCAGTTGGTGCAAACCGTTTGGGAGGGGATGCCACGCGGGTGTGGGCGATTTTGGGGCCAGACCATTCAAGACTGTTCCAATTCCAAACTGTTTCTGGTTTCTGCTTCTTGTTTCTGGCTAAGCAGAGGAGCAGCATCGTGTCAGGTGGCAGGGGGCGTCTCCCTTGGACTGGAGGAGAGGGATAGATAGGGATAGTTGTTCTGGGAGAAAATCCCATAATTTCCATAATATTTCCGCAGATTTAAAACCGGTTCCGAGTGGATTTTCTCTCATTTAATGCTGCAGCTGGATTTCTTCCAGGACTGGGGGAGCAGGAGAAGGGGAGCACACACGTATGTACCTCTCACACGCAGAGCCAATTAACGCTAATGCAGGACTGACTCCTCATTTCACACCTCTCCCTCCCCCACACCACTCAGTGGAGAAGGGGCAGGAGGAGGAGGGACAGGCAGACATTCGACATGCAAATGAAGGGCAAATGGAGCCTGTCAATGGTACTGCCAATGCGGTTGCATGTCCATACCATAGCTGCCCCATACCTATCCCACCTCCCCGCCCCCGGTCACAAGTTTTTACTGCCATGCGGTGAGTGTATGTGTACGTGTATGTGTGTTTCTGGACCCTGTTTTGCAAGGTGTTGATTATGGCCTTTGATATGCAAATGAACCGGTTTTACAGCTGCCTCTCCCCGCCCATAACCACCATGGCCGCCCCCCCGCTGGGCAGCCAAACAAATGGCGCTAATGATGGGGCAAGATGACACCTTGTGGCAACATATCATGGCCACCGCTCATATGGCCAACTAAAGACACACTTAACCGGAAAACTCGAGCCCGGTAAAAGGGTTCTTAAGCACTCCGCCGATTATGGGAGTGC